GAAATGGAAATGTTAGCATGTGATTATGAGTAAATTAGTAAGCGTACAAAAATTTAACATGCATTTATGTCGTCACTGTCCGGATGATAAAATAACATGTTTGTATGAGCAATTCGAAATATCGTGAAAATAGAGCAACAAATTGTTTATGGGTATGACAGCGGAATAAATCGTGGAAATAAGTAATGTAGAATATAATTAAAATTGGTCTGTAGTGCCAATTGAATATGAGAATGAAGAACAGTGAAATATGATTTTCTGATAAGTCGCAGTAGAGTAAATAGAGTCTCTTAGCGATTAGTGTATTCGAATTTACATAACTGAAGTTTACGTGGGATAAGAAGTAATCCAGCCGTAGGAAGATGACTGCATGAACAGGTGGTATTCATTGCTGTACTGCAATTGATTATGATAATAAAATGCGAAATCAGCGTGCGCTAACGCTTGCGTTGAGTTATCGTTAAATATGTATTAGTAGAATGACCAGAGGAACAGGATAGTGACTGCTTAGACGTGATATGCGGAGTCGTATTCCTTTTTGGTCTAGAAGCCTAGCGTGGTTTGCGTAGTTAGAGGGATATGCGCTCAACCTCATTTGTTACGAAACCGTTTTAAGGCATGATAAAAATACCAATACATATGATTGTCGATGACAGCGAGTGAGACTGACTTGAATGTGACGAACAAGAGTGTAACTTTGAGAGATTAGCTCTAAACTCTATGTTCTGGTGTATAGTGCAATAGAAATAGGATATTAATTGCAGCGATCGAATAGCGATTATCGGTAATGAATGATGCAGCATTCAGATATAAATGTGAATAAATAGATAATATGAAAATAATCATTACTAATCGGCTGGTAATGCGGCGTCGAATACTCGATTTGTGTATAAACATTAAAGTAGGGATCATCGTGAAACAAAAATTGCGGAAGTTCGGTTTAGATTGTCGCTGAAAATGTAGGAAACGACGGTTGCTGCGTACCAATGAAATGAATGAACATTAGTTGTCTATCGAGAACATAAGTTCCTACTATCGGGAGTATGACTCCAAACTTATGTCTATGATAGAGTGTTATCTTAGACCGAAAATGACATGAAAAAAAAATTGGAACGAACTCACTTGAATCAGGAAAATTGTACGTCATTGGATAATAAAAATAATCCAGTGAGTTTCGAATATCATAACGTGTAATGTCCATATCATTATAATTTGTTCGATTAGTGATATGACCGCGTAAATGTCATAGTTTAATGTCAATACGAACAAAAATAATAATTCCACGTTAGATGATGATATGACATTATTGTAATAATGAGCTTGTGATGATTATTTGAATCATAACGGAATATGTCGTCGACGGTTCCATTTTTGGTTTGTGTTCGCTCGTTGCGGTCGCCAGTTCTGTTGCGTGTTCCAAATACAGTTCACCAATATGTTGAGTGTTCGTTCGGCGAGGCATCCAATTTTGTTACGTGTTCGAATTTCGGGCTAACCAATATGTTGTGAATTCGTACGTTGAAGTTACCAACTTTGCTTCGCGTTCGTAATTCGGGATCGCCAATATGTAGTGTAGTGCTTCGTTAATCGGTCGTCTTGATAACCGTTATTATAACAATCTGAACGGTGTATAATATCAGAAGACAAAGGGAAGCAGCAACTACATTTTTATTGACAAATAACATAGGTTAGAAGGCAGTGAGCACATGAGTAAATGTTAGCGAGCGAAGAAAAAATAACACATGGGAGATGGCTGGTAAGCCAACTCATTTTAAGCAAGCGTTAACTAACATTTATAGGCAGGCAAAAATGAGTGACAGACATATGATGAATAAGATACGAAGTGTACACATATGCGCTCATATAAAAAGTACTCAAGGTTAATAAGCAAATGATTAACAAGATCAAAAGATGACTCAATGTACAGGTGAATTGGCTTGGCCAGTAACTAGAATAAAGTATATGGGCCTAACATATGAACTGGTACTACAAACTATTGTACATCACAAATGTATTATACTAATCATATTACCAACGTACACAAGTTACCACTCTTGAAGGATTAAAGGCCACCATCCAGGATTCTCAGCTCTGTCCTGGACTCTAATTTCCAGTTGTTTCTAAGTGCTTTTCATTCTTTTGATGCCTGCCCCTCCTCTTTTCCTTCTGCCTTCTGGACTCCAAGTTAGGACTTGCTTCATGATGCAGTCTGATGACTTATGTAATGTGTGTTTTAGCTATTTCCAGACCATTCTCCTAATTTTCTGTTTAGCTGGAATTTGGTTTGTTCTCTACCATAGTAGGCTGTTGCGGATGGCATACAGTCGACGGACACAGAGTATCTTGTGTAGACAACTGTCTATAAATCCTTTTATATTTTGGTTATGGTTAAGTTAATTGATGAGGTGATTCTTCTTTTTCTCGTAAACTATGGAAGAAGAAGAATGATGTACACCTATATTGATACACACATCAAGGTTGCTTAATAAAAATAATGTGATTTCAAACGTCGTATGAAACGATGTTGTTGAGTGGGGCGAACTACTTTGAATGCTTGAGTCATGTTAACTGTGAAACTGTTATATCTAGAGCTTTGGTTTTTACTATACCGTGTACTGCTAGACTACTTGAACGATCGAACCCGCAACGTCGCAAGAGAGAAGACAAAAGACTAATAAGTAGGAATTTTATTCTCCAAAACAGTATCAAAATATAGTACAGAAATCTCATGTATTCATAGTTATTAGCTGAATGTAAATCATCATTTCGGTCAACCAATAAGAACATAGGGATCATTCTTATCCATCCAAAGGGAAGCTACACGTCGACATTCTAGAATATTCCCCTAGCGGTGACTGGATGGAATGTCTTCAGCTCTTTCTGGACTTCTTGAGGCTTCCTAGAGTTTACCAACAAGCCATCCTTACAGAAACTTTATTGAGCAAACGACTCAACAAGGATCTATAAGTGAATGTTATTAACTTAAAAATATAAGTAGTATGTAGCAGGAATTGGAAGTGCGGCACTTACCAGAACAAGAAGAATGAAATAAAGAGAATAGGAGGGAAAATAGATGGCACTTGTAATAGCAACAGGATTGGAAATATGATGAACAATGTAAAGAACAAATCAAAGAACATACGTAAATTATTCAATTAATGTATTATTTACATATTTTACGAAGGAGCTTTGATTTTAAATAAAACAATAAAATGATTCTACCTGCTTGTGTTTTCATTCGCTACACTAGTATATAACAGAGATAATGATATATTTGTAGTATCCCAATGAGTAATGAGATGGATCCATATAATAATTAGTAGTATTCGAATTAATGTGCTAACTAAGAATTCTTGATATAAAGCAATTTAAATCAGGTAAAACTGTAATGAACAGAACATGAGTGGGAACAATCGAATATATTTAGACACACTAAATTTAGACTCACTAAATTTTGATAACCATACAACAAATAGTTAATTGAAGATCATATCGGTTAAGGGCTCTGGCTCGAGACTGGTAGGTCCTGGGTTCGAATCTCGCGAGTGCGGGATCGTGGATGCGCACTGCTGAGGAGTCCCATAATAGGACGAAACGGCTGTCAAGCAAGGCTTCCAGGTTTTCTATGGTGGTCTAGCTTCAATTGACTCCTGATTTCAACTATGAAAATAGTTAATTTGTAAAATAACAATCAATTGTCTCAATCTTCACTGTTTCTTCTGTAAATATCAGTTCAATTTCTCTAATTCCATTGTTCATGCATTTTTCTACCAATTACGCTTCATTTCATTCCTTTCCTTATCGATCTTCTGCCAAAATAAATTCTCTGACTGACCATCAACACATACTATTAATATATGGATATAAGTAGATCACACTACAGAACTAGATGAACACAAATAAACGTATAATTATTTAGAATTCGTAATCACCGGGTTATCAAGTATAAAAGAATCCTTACTTCATACAAGTTCCACAATACAATTTATTAATTATATTTTATAGTTAAAAGTGTAAGTCAATTAAACCTAAACCACCACAGAAAACTTGAAAGTACTAGACGACTGTTTCGTCCTATTATGAGACTCCTTCTTGGAAGTGCGTATCCACAACCTTTTAATCCATATCTATAATTAACAGTATTTATCATAACTATAATTACATGTATATTTCATGATTTGTTTACTCCCTACAAAGTTCTATTGTCATATATTTTCATATTTCTATTTTTTTTTTTTTGTCACTAGAATTTTTACTTTTCTTTAAGTTATAAATAATAAAACTCAATAACAAGTTTACCCTTAATGAAAAAAATAAACAAACAAACAAACAATGGAACTTCAACTTAATATTGTTTGTTTGAACTTTCAACAATTATTGTATTCAACAATCGATAATTAATCAGTTCTATATACTTATACATAATATAAAATTAAATCTAAAGGAGTGGTTAAATTTTCTATTATTATTCAATTGAGTTATAATTAAAGAAAAAATTGTAAAATGAGTTATTGTTTACTAATTATACATTTAATGTACTATCATTAAGTTAGATTTATTTAAATAAATACAGTATAGGCAACAATTTGTAAGTGTCAAGTATATTCTCTATTCTTTTGAATATACATAAAAAGTGATTGTTTATTTATTTAATACAATAGGTCAATGGATTGTATTATTATTATTATTATTATTTTTACCGCCAATTAATTACTTGGAATCAATGTCTCGGCGTAATATGTTTCTTGGTCTTCCTTTTTTCCTTTGACCTTCAGGATTCCATGTGAGGGCTTGTTTTGTGACTCAGTTAGGTGATTTCCTTAATGTGTATCCTATCCACTTCCAGAGATTCTTGTTGATTTTTTTTACCGCCAATTAATTACTTGAAATCAATATGTAATTTAATTAAATCTGTTATTCATTATCGTTTACAAGTTAAAGAATTTATATAAGGAGTATATAAATCATACAATTTCATTATGCTTAAAAATTATAGAAACATGAGGAGTGAATTGAAAATACTTTTATTAATACTTGTCATTACTATTCATTTTAATTATAAAGGTAATTGAATTTATATAATATACTGTGTATATTTTAATTTATGTAAATATGTTTGTGATATTTAGTTACTTACTTATGCTTGTAACCACCAATGTAGCATAGGCCATCGACCAACATTCTACAACTCACTCTGTCCTCGATCTTCCTTTCTGGTTCTATTCAATTGTTGTTCATTCTTCTGATATCTGTCTATATGTCTCGGCGTAATATGTTTCTTGGTCTTCCTTTTTTCCTTTGACCTTCAGGATTCCATGTGAGGGCTTGTTTTGTGACTCAGTTAGGTGATTTCCTTAATGTGTATCCTATCCACTTCCAGAGATTCTTGTTGATTTCTTCCTCCACCGGATGAAGTCTGATTTGTTCTTTCCCATAGTAGGTTGTTGTTGATAGTGTCTGACCATCTGATCCGAAGTATTTTGCGTAGACAGCTGTTGACAAACATTTGTATCTTCTGGATGATGGCTTTCGTAGTTCTCAACGTCTCCGCCCCATACAGTGGAACTGTCTTGACATTTGTATTGAAAATTCTCACTATGGTGTTGGTTGACAGACATTTGTTTTGAGTTCCAGATGTTCTTCAATTGTAAATATGCTTCTCTTGCTTTACCGATCTGCGTCTTCATATCTGCATCAGATCCAACGTGTTCATCGATGATGCTGAACAGATATGTAAAGATTTGTTTGTGATATTCCTAACTATTTATTTTCATTTTAAATATTGCTTCTAATATTATATGAGAATATATTTTGATGTGGGTTTGTTCTCTAAGCTGGATGGTTTGGTCGTGGAGCTTTCATTGTCCTTCTGAACGACATCATCAGCACAAACTTCGGGTAGAATATATTTAATTTATAATCTTATTTGTCATTTTCTTTTTCTTTTTAGAAGCTGCATGCTGTGCACGTGGTGATGATACAGATACTCAATCAAAAATGGAAAAATCTGAATCTAATTCAGTGAATCGTAATTCGGATTATGGTGAAACTATTCCGGATTCCATCTTCTCTTTTGATCCTTTCATGGCTTAAATCTCAAGTCAAGTTTCATAAATATTTTCAACATCTGACATTCTGTTTATTAAATGGCACATTCTTTAATGTATAAATAATGAATTGTTTTCATACTACAATATTCTGCATTTATTTATTTATGAAATTGATTCTGTGAAATTTCGAAATAAGTTAATGAATATTACTGATTGTATAAGTAGTATGTTATGTGTTACGTAGTTTATTTTCCGAGTCAAGTATACTTGTTACAGATTGAAGAGATTTGTAAGTTGAATATTTTAAGTGGTTTTTTATGGTAACAAATGGTATAAAATTTGTCTAATCTTAATAGTTATAGACTAATGGAAGACATTGGTGAAATGGTTGCTTAACTTCATGGATTGGTTAAAATTAAACATTAATACTGTTGGATACCCGCTCAGTAGTCTATAGGTTAAATGCTCGCGCGCGAGACTGATATGTCCTGGGTTCGAATCTCGTTAGACGAGATCGTGGATGCACACTGCTGAGGAGTCCCACAATAGGACGAAACGGCCGTCCAGTGCTTCCAAGTTTTCCATCGTGGTCTAGCTTCAATCGACTGGTGATTTCAACTATATAAAATTACTAATGGAATATGTTTATAAATCTGCTATAAACGGTAGGATAGTTATTATAACACTAGGATTTCCTTTTTATAACAATCCTTTCACTTTTTACACGTATGTGGGACGTTAATTTACCTTAGACAAATATCTACACCAGATTCCTTCTCAGTGTCTATTCTACAGGACTTTAACACAACTCAGATCAGGAACACGTGATTAACCTGACTAGAACGTCAATATATTTCCACACCAAAATCCGACACAATCCAACAACAAGGAACAGTTATTCAATAATAATGATAATAAGGATAGGGGGATATATAACACATATAAGACCTGTCTGACTCAACAAAACAACCAATTATTATCATTCTCGCCCAAACATCAAAATCATATTTTAATAAGGGATGAAATATCAGTGAATAACTGAGAAATATAACTATGATTATTGATAATTTATTTCCATCCAGCGTTATTATTCCTCTTCCAACCTTGTCAGCAAATATTCCGATAATATAGAAAAAAAATACAAAGAAAAATCCACCAAAGTTCTTTTAACTTATCTGTAATCTATATTTATTAAACTAATAACTGTTCATATAGTTGAAATCATGAGTCAATTGAAGATAGACCACCATGGAAAACCTGGAAGCACTAGACGGCCGTTTCGTCCAATTGTGAGACTCCTCAGCAGTGCACATCCACGATCCCGCTTCGTGAGATTCGTACCCAAAACCTATCAGGCTCGCGAGCGAGCGCTTATTCACTAGACCACTGAGACGACGTCCAACGGTGTTAATATCTAACTTCAACTAATCTAGCTTCAATTGACTCATGATTTCAACTATATAAAATTACTAAAATCTCCACAAAACCCTCTTCTAATAACTGTTCAGTCACAAATATATCAGTGATTTTATTAGTACAGAAAATGATAAACAATTAACCTGTAGGTAGGTATGACACCGATATGCTCATCTAAGAAAGTGCGATTCACACATGGAAAGTAATCCCTCTGTACATTGTCTATTATATGTTTTTGAAGAAAAACAATCACTCTCATTTTGGAACTCTCAACTGACATATAGTATAAGAAGTTGTTGGCCGATAACGTTGCAACCGAATCAAGTCATTTATCTATTCTGAATTCTTCTGATTTTGATACTGTCTAGATGGTTGCTGAAGCTTAATTATCGTCGAAATCCTAATTGACTAATAATACCTTGCAATATTGTTGAATTATCTGAACTGAGGAATTTAATCGTGAAACTTCTAATGTCTATCTATCCAGCATAACCAGAAATGTAATATATGTTTATACTTATGATAGTCCGTATTGTAGCTGCAGTGAAATGTCACTAAGCCCTAGGCAAATCATTCGGGAGTTGGGTCACTGAATATCGAACAGATCATCGATCTCTGTTAAAGTCAAGGACAACAAAACGCACAACAGTTATTCATACTCCATGGACTGGCTCATGCGGTAGTGGTCTCATTAAAATCTCTGTACTCATTCTTACTAATATATTTACGTAATCACGCTCTTTGTGTGATGCAGTCTTCAAAGCAGACATAGTACTTTAATAAGTCGAATGGGGTAATCCACGTTAGATGCTGACCGCGAGGTGTAACTTCGAAGTTAGCTTGTTCGTTACACCGTTCCCGTCTGACTCGAGTAGGCCTCCAATCATTCGATATAGATCATCAAAGTTGATGGTATACAGTATCAATAAAGTAAATGCTTCATTGAATAAATCTTTTTAATAACTTTAATTTTGAAACAAACAAGTGTGAGCTTCCAAACTACTGAAAATCACTTCTATTTCAAAGATACAGAAATAATTTACACTTTATAAAAGTAAGTATCCAATGAAAAAAATTTCTTTAACATATTAAAGAGTTTATTGAAGTTAGTATATAGATAGTTTATCAGTAAATGGGTAATATTTTTGAATATCTATATTAATTAAGTATAATATAGTGTTGTAGAACATCAACGTTGATGGTCTATGTCCAATGATTGCAAGCCTACTCCAGTTAGACGGGGACGGTGTAACGAACAAGCTAACTTCGAAGTCACACCTCGTGATCAGCACCTTATGTGGATTGCCTCATCGACGTATCAAGGGATCATGGATGCTCTGAAGACTGTACAACAGAAAGGACGTTATTACAAGAATATGTTGGTTAAAGTAGATACAAGCGAAAGTAGAACCACTGCCGCATGGGCCAGTCCATGGCTTATGATTAACTGATGCGTGTTGACTGTCCTTGACTTTGACGAGGATCGATGATCTGTTCGGTATTTAGTGACCCGACTGCCAGATGATTTGGCTAGGGTTCAGTGACACTTCACTGGCCCTACAGTGTAAATGTAGACAAGGAACACTATCTAAGTTTGCGATAAATGAATACGTCTTAAATCAATTCGGTCCACGTAATGTGGTCAGCTCTTCCTATTCCCACCTTTTAAAAAGTTAATCTAGTTGTGTTCATTAATTTATCTTTAGCTTAAGTCCTAAGATCTAATATACAACCATACAACACGATTGTATTGAAGATACCACCAGCATTGTAAATTGACAACTATTAACCAGTAACACCTTCTATAATCGAATCGTCCCCCACTCCGTTAAAATCAGAAGTTAGAAGCGAAGAGATTGGAAAGATATATTTGCTGTGTTATCAATATATTGAGAAGCGGTTGATCTATTCTGGCTAGTGAACGTAGGAGATGTTTCCCACGCTGAGCTGTAACGTGATCTAGTGCGGATGCATGACTGAATGCTTTCAGTTAAACAAGTCCACTAAAACTAATATGGTCAGCATCCAATGTCCAACACTTAAAAAGTTATTGATATTGGAGAATTATTTACAGCTACAGCATCTTATCGTTTGTAAGATAAATAAAAGTAGGATATTTTATCTTAATAAATTTAGATAAACTAAACATTCAATGGTATGTTCACAACAGAAGTGTTATATTGTTGAAACCGTAGCAAAGTAGAAAAATGAATTTCTAAAGTTTCATGATCACAATGAATTTATAACCTCATCATGGTAATAACTGTTCAAACAGTTAGATAAATAAATTGAATCACTTTATCAATGAATGGTAAGAAACTAGTCATGACCTTTTACAAGCTTATTATTTAAGTTAAATAGAAAATTTCTCAGTATAATTTATTCATATTTATGTATATGTGTATACATTTGAGTTGAAGTGAACACATATTGGTCACCTAATTTGTGTATGTTGATCACATCGTATATGGTAATCTAGGTAGATTGCTTTAGCTGATAGAATAGCAAGCTATTCAGTTATATTAATACTGATCAAATTCAGTATTACATAATGTATTCGGGTTATTCGTTTGTCACTATACTGAGAAAAATCATTTTGAACTAGGTGACGATTCATAAAATAATTATGATGAATAACGAATATAATGCATATTTGTATTCCCGAGAAATATATACCACAAATGATAAGTTAAATATATATTACTTTAATAGTTGAGAGCATAGGTCAACTAATGCTAGACCACAATAAAAAACCAGGAAGCATTGGATGACCGTTTCATCCTGTAGTAGGACTCATCAATAGTACATATCTACGAGCGCACCTTGTGAGAAACGAACACAGGACATATCGGTAACGCGCGCGAATGTTTAAAATCTAGACCACTAAAACAGCTTCCAATGGTGTTATTCTCTAAATTAAAATAATCCACGAAATAGAGCAACATATACAACATATTTTCAGCGCGTTACTATCTCATAATAGACCCGGACAAATTCCATGAAACAACAGACAAGTGCTTACCAGATTTCAATAACGGTATATCTACAATCGACTCAAACACAAAACTATAAAAATTACTACAAAATCTACAAAAAACCGTTCAAATATATACTTATTTGAAGAGATTGTCATCATTCCAAGTAAACAAATAGATTACACTGTTGAAGCAATTCATTAAATATTACAAGAACTGCACACACATGAATGATTGTTTCACTTTCTAGATTTGACATAGTCCCTACTAACGATAGTTTCAGCTGACTATGTGGAATTATTTGAAAAAGATGGAGAGTTGATGGACATAATGATATCTCAATATACACCATCATTAGAACAAATAGAAATGTTAATTAGTAGTTTATAAAATTACTGCATTATATTTCTTTGTCATAGTTGCAAGCTTGAGTCAATTTAAGCTAGATTACTATGGAAAACCTGGAAGCACTGGACGGCCGTTTCGTCTTATTGTGGGAATTTTCAGCAGTGAGATTCCACGAGATTCTAACATTTCTTTGTGTTTAGAAAGTACGATAAATATAGTAATAAGTAGTATATTTCCCATATCACATACAATTATAATGATAGATAACCAATACCACAAAACATATATGTGATACAGTCAATCAACATGCATCAATTAGTATTAATTGTACATTTTCAATATTCAAATTAGACAAAAGTTTCCTATCAATCCAAATTAAATTTACTAGTTAAAAGACAGTAACATTCAAAATCGAAATAATAAAACATTTACTCTCTGAAATGACATCAAAGTGATAAGTTCTGAGATGAACAATATGATTATTAATATTGGTTTATTGACTCGTCAATCTCAGTGAAACAAGAAACATAAGACAATTGAATTTCAAAGAATCATTATGAAAATCATCACTGGATGAGATAAGTCTGTACACGATTTTCTATATCTCAACAATTCAATCACTGTCATCATCAATAATAGTTCTCTTATTTATCGTTTTGCGTGTTTTTGTGGAATATTAATCTTCCACTGGAACTTCTCTGATCTCTCTTGTTTTGACAATTTTCTTGCGTTGCACTGTTTCCTCAGAATCTTCTTGACCTGGATCTCTGATTACTTCTCTTTTAACGGTTCTTGAACTTTCAACACCACCACTACCACCACTTGTTTCTCCACCTCTTTTGGCACTGGTTGTACCACGAGCTAAACGACCCAATCCTTTGCCTATTAAAAGATTGCGTACATTTCGATAACCACCACGACCAATAATCAAACCATTTCCGATTCTCGCTCCCCTACCAACACCTAGACCAGCTTTGATTCCTACACCATCACCAAGACCAAGACCTGCTTTGATTCCTACACCATCACCAACACCTAGACCAGCTTTGATTCCTACACCATCACCAAGACCAAGACCTGCTTTGATTCCAGCCCCATCACCAACACCTAGACCAGCTTTGATTCCTGCACCAACATCTAGACCTGCTTTGATACCCGCGTCAGCATCAACTTCTGCGCCTACAGAGATGGCATCAACAAATAAAAAGTCATAATGAATATGATAATTAATGCCACTTCAGTAATTAATGTGTTAAAGTGACAAAAATAACAATAAACAAGTTAATTAATTAGACTCTCTCTTCACTTACCCCCAGTTTGAAAGAAGAGACATGTCGAGGAAATCGTTATGAATAATATCTATTAGAAATTAACATGAAGAATAAAGTATTTATGAATTAAAATAAAATAATCTCACTAACAGATGTGAGCGTCATTGGCTGTGCTGTCAGTAGACTTGGATTGTGTTTAAGCAATTATTGAGAAGCTAAGAATACATTTATACCCGTTCTTCATATTTTTCACGGGGTTACAATCGATTTATTTACTAAACTAGATATGTCACAATGTACAATCAATATTATTGTAAAATGTAGGGAAAAGTGATGATGATGATGACGACGACCAGGTTCTATAACCTCAATTTTTCTATACGAAGTGTAAATTAATAATTTGTGACACATGCCATTATTTGATCAATTTATTCTTTTATTGAAATGATCGATTTTATTGTCATACTGCAAAATATTGTGACACCGGTTTGATGCAATAACTACATATGACTTTTCTTAGCTTTTCAATAACTTGTACAGAATGTATTCCATTTAGAAATAACTATGTCTTTAATTAAAGTCAATCCAGCAAGATAACCTCCTATAAACTGTTTCATTTTGTTTAATTTCTACCATGACGTGATATCAAGTTAATAACTGTTGAAGAATTCTGCAAATTAAATGATAAACATAAGTACTTTATATCTTTATTTTTCCTACGACTTAGTCCATACAAGTAAACTGTATACCCTTCTTTCGAATTTTGTTGCTTAGTTATTTAGTGTCACTTGTAAGTGCTTGATTGTTCTGTTACTAAGTGGTTTTATTGGGTGTGTTCTGTTGAACAAGATAAGTTTTGCTGGAAAATTTCACTTCAAATGTAAGATGACTTTACATCACATTTGCAGTCTACATTTTGAAACTGGTTATTTCATGATATAAACGTCTTATATTAAGTTTCAACAATAAATGATTAGTAGAGATCATGAGTCAATTGAAGCTAGACCACATTGGAAAACTTGGAAGCACTAGACGGCCGTTTCGACCTATCGTGGGACTCCTCGGCAGTGAGCATCCACGATCCCACCTCGCGAGATACGAACCCAGGACATATCGGTAACGCACGGGAACGCATAACCTCTAGAGCACTACACAAGGTTTTTCCTAGCTTTTCGATAACTTGTACAGAATGTATTCCATTTCGAAATAACTGTGTCTCTTATTAAAGTTAATCCAGAAAGATGACCTCCTATAAAGTGTTTCATCGTATTTAATTTCCATCATGAAGTGATATCAAGCTAATAACTGTTGAAAACAATGGACGGTTATTTTGTCTCAGATTGAGATTCCTTTATAACATAAACTCTGTTTGATCTTGTTAGAAATGAATGTATAATAAGAATACGTTCTTCCTGCATAGTTATTGCATCAAACCGGTGTCACAATATTTTGCAGTATGACAATAAAATCGATCATTTCAATAAAAGAATAAATTGATCAAATAATGGCATGTGTCACAAATTATTAATTTACACTTCGTATAGAAAAATTGAGGTTATAGAACCTGGTCGTCGTCATCATCATCATCACTTTTCCCTACATTTTACAATAATATTGATTGTACATTGTGACATATCTAGTTTAGTAAATAAATCGATTGTAACCCCGTGAAAAATATGAAGAACGGGTATAAATGTATTCTTAGCTTCTCAATAATTGCTTAAACACAATCCAAGTCTACTGACAGCACAGCCAATGACGCTCACATCTGTTAGTGAGATTATTTTATTTTAATTCATAAATACTTTATTCTTCATGTTAATTTCTAATAGATATTATTCATAACGATTTCCTCGACATGTCTCTTCTTTCAAACTGGGGGTAAGTGAAGAGAGAGTCTAATTAATTAACTTGTTTATTGTTATTTTTGTCACTTTAACACATTAATTACTGAAGTGGCATTAATTATCATATTCATTATGACTTTTTATTTGTTGATGCCATCTCTGTAGGCGCAGAAGTTGATGCTGACGCGGGTATCAAAGCAGGTCTAGATGTTGGTGCAGGAATCAAAGCTGGTCTAGGTGTTGGTGATGGTGTAGGAATCAAAGCTGGTCTAGGTGTTGGTGATGGTGTAGGAATCAAAGCAGGTCTTGGTCTTGGTGATGGTGTAGGAATCAAAGCTGGTCTAGGTGTTGGTGATGGTGTAGGAATCAAAGCAGGTCTTGGTCTTGGTGATGGTGTAGGAATCAAAGCTGGTCTAGGTGTTGGTAGGGGAGCGAGAATCGGAAATGGTTTGATTATTGGTCGTGGTGGTTATCGAAATGTACGCAATCTTTTAATAGGCAAAGGATTGGGTCGTTTAGCTCGTGGTACAACCAGTGCCAAAAGAGGTGGAGAAACAAGTGGTGGTAGTGGTGGTGTTGAAAGTTCAAGAACCGTTAAAAGAGAAGTAATCAGAGATCCAGGTCAAGAAGATTCTGAGGAAACAGTGCAACGCAAGAAAATTGTCAAAACAAGAGAGATCAGAGAAGTTCCAGTGGAAGATTAATATTCCACAAAAACACGCAAAACGATAAATAAGAGAACTATTATTGATGATGACAGTGATTGAATTGTTGAGATATAGAAAATCGTGTACAGACTTATCTCATCCAGTGATGATTTTCATAATGATTCTTTGAAATTCAATTGTCTTATGTTTCTTGTTTCACTGAGATTGACGAGTCAATAAACCAATATTAATAATCATATTGTTCATCTCAGAACTTATCACTTTGATGTCATTTCAGAGAGTAAATGTTTTATTATTTCGATTTTGAATGTTACTGTCTTTTAACTAGTAAATTTAATTTGGATTGATAGGAAACTTTTGTCTAATTTGAATATTGAAAATGTACAATTAATACTAATTGATGCATGTTGATTGACTGTATCACATATATGTTTTGTGGTATTGGTTATCTATCATTATAATTGTATGTGATATGGGAAATATACTACTTATTACTATATTTATCGTACTTTCTAAACACAAAGAAATGTTAGAATCTCGTGGAATCTCACTGCTGAAAATTCCCACAATAAGACGAAACGGCCGTCCAGTGCTTCCAGGTTTTCCATAGTAATCTAGCTTAAATTGACTCAGGAACCCAGCTTTATAAAATTACTGGAATCTCCAGGGAACCCTGAAATGTTACTATTATATCCATCAACTCTCCATAATTTTAAATAATTCAACAGATTCAGGTGAAAATACCATTAGAATGGAATATGAAAATTCTAGTAAATGAAGCAATCATTCAGGTATGTGCCTTACTGTAAATGTGTAGTGATTGTCTTATTTATCTCTGAGTAGTTAGTTATATTTGATAATATTGTTCTTAAACTGCACCCTACGTTCCTCGTCATATATATATTCATCATGAGTTAAGGAATTATTGTAATGAACAGAACACCGTTTGAGGACAATCGAATTTTTTTAAGCACAAATTACAGACTATCTCACTAACTTCTGATGACCATGCAATGAACAGTTAATTTGCAAAATAACAACCAATTGTCTCAATCTTCACTGTCCCTTCTGTAAATATCAATCCATCTTCTCTGATTTCATTGTTTATTCATTTTCGTACCAATCGCGCTTCATTTTAATCCTTTGCTTATCGGTCTTCTGGCAAAATGCATTCTATGTCTGACCATCACCATTTACTACTAATATATCGATATAAGTTGACCACACCACAATATGACATATTAGAAATCTTAAACGCAATGGATATTTAGTAAACTTTGGATATTATTTTATGTTCATTGACTGTTTGTTGTTTAATTTCGAACCACGTTTGTTTTGTTTCATACTTCTGTATATAAGTCAGTATTTCATTTGTTTGACACAATTACGAGTACCTGAATAGTCTTTTTGGTCGTTCAGTATAATTACACTGATGACTGTTGATTACTTATATTCACATTATATTATACCATATTATTTTTGTTTCAGTATTTCTTCTATTATTTTATCCACTTAAAATGCTATTTGTTTATATAAAAACAATCTACTAGTTTGAAGCAGTAAGGTTGATAATAACTAGAGACCATTGAATAGTTGATTGGATTCATTTTGACACTTCTCAACGATATGCAGTTATGATTAAACAAGCGGTCAAACTCGGTCGATGAGAACTTTTGTTTATGTATATTCATTCATATCTGCATAAGAGTAATTAAGTGAATAGCTTATTACAGTAGAATCGAGTGTTTACTTGGAATCATTATAATCTCTTAACTAATATATATTTAACTTATTAATTGAGCCATAAATTGTAACCATTGTTTCATTGATTGATTTTGTAGTAGGTAAATATTAGAATGGTATACATCTAAAGAAATTTAGATCTGTCATCAGTACTGACTTACTTACTTACTTACTTACGACTGTTACCCCTAGTGGAGGAGAACAGGCTACACACCGCACTCCGGCTGTAACTCTTCTAGTGTTACTGCCGGTCTCAAGCCCGGGTAAATGAAGAGGGTGGGCATGAGTTTAGCGAACCCATCCCGTAGAAAACTAAATCGCTAAGAAAACGCTCACCAGAAAATATCATTCAAACCAACCGACATCAGTTGAACAACTCAAAATTATTTGTTTACACAAGTCCAATATGTTATCTCTATTCTCCATGGGAACATTGAGATTTATAAATATTTGAAAATAATGGGCATAGAACTAGTAATGCCAATAATGATAAATCTAATTTCATGGTCATATGACAAAATCACCCATTGATAACCACATTGGGATTATTTTCACTAACCACAATAATTATGGGACACCTAACAAAGTCTCGTGAACTGCAAACACGAGAAAATCAGGCTGGCTTCAGACCTGGTTGTGGCTGCATCGATCACATATTCACCATTCGTCAGATATAAGAACACAGGCATCCTTATCGGCATCCGACAATGGTGAATTTTTTGACTCAAAAGCAGCAGTTGAATCTTTAGACCGAGTGGTACTATGGCAGTATCTGTCATTGAAATGTGCTCCTCAGAACATAAACTTTTCGAAGGCTCACTACCCAAACACCATTAGTGAAGTCGGAGCTTATGGCGAACTGTCATCTAATTTTACAACCTCAAGTCATGTCCGGCAAGGTTGTCCACTATCTCCTTTTTTTCAATTGTATCATAACCTACTGGATTTTCAGGAATAGATCTTCTGGAAGGTTCACTTATCGACTTAGAAGATGCAAATGACAGTCCTATTTGGTGAATACGCTGATAAAATTCAGTCTTTTGGTAGTACTAAACGGCAATGCCACGATGTTTGGAATGCATCTCTCCCCCTCTAAGTGAAAGTCATTGCTTCAGGACTAGCTTGCGTCAACACCTGAACTAAAGATAGGGAGTGAAGTTGTCAAACGCGTTGACAACTTCACTTATCTTGGAAGTCTGATCAGCCCTAATGGGTTGGTGTCTGATGAAATCTTGGCACGGATTCAAAAAGCTCGTTTGGCTTTTGCCAACTTACGTCACCTATGGCGAAGACGAGATATCCGTCTATCAATTAAGGGACGAGTATACTACGCAGCAGTTCGTTCTGTTCTACTTTACGGCTGCGAAACATGGCCATTAAGAGTAGAAGATACTCGTAAGTTACTAGTATTTGACCACAGATGTCTTAGAAATATTGCTCGCATCTGCTGGGATCACCGGATAAGTAATAGTGAGGTTAGACACAGAGTATTAGAAAATGATGGTAAATCAGTTGATGAGGTCATGAATATTCATCGACTGAGATGGTTGGGCCACGTGTTGTTACGTATGCCTGAACAATGATTACCACGACGCGAAATGCTGACTAGTGTTGGAGACTAATGGAAGAAAGTTAGGGGCGGCCAGACCAAAACGTAACATCAGCCATTGAAGTCATTAACTTCTAGTTTGAGTCATATTGGTAGATGCAGACTACTTGGTTGGGGTCCGCGTGACCTAATGGTTGAGGAGTCTGTGTGAAATGGTTCAGTATTGATCACAACACCGTAAGGAATACACTCTTTGCTTTCCCTTAAACTGTGAGATGAAGATTACATTATAATTTTCTTTCCATGAACTATTTCTTTTTTACTGTATCATATCCTTATATGCAACCTTTCTTCTATGTATTATTGCTATTGAAATAACTGCTTCTATGAATTTGATGTTCATCTTACTTTGCTAATGAGGTATGGTAACTTGGACCGACGCATATATGTGCCTGATCCTACACTGTAAATGACTGACTCACTTATTGTCGTTATAATGACCAATGATTACCTAATCAGATAGATTACATTATAAAAAGTTAAATTAATTGTTTTACAAAGTTATAGCTGTTACAAGAAATGAGAAGTGGATAAATACATCCTTCCATAAGCACTGATCACCTAGTGGATATATAATAATAAAAGTATTTTACAAAGTTATGCACGGATTTCAAATCAATATTTACTTGCCATCATCTACCAAAATCTACATTGAAAATCTTATCAAAAGCTCTCCATTTATTTCTTATTTTATTACTGTAAGGATAGGTCGTTGGCAAACTCTAGGAAGCCTCAAGAAGCCCAGAAAGAGCTGAAGACATTCCATCCAATCACTGCTAGGGGAACATTCTAGAGTGTAGACGTGTAGCTTCCCCACTGGATGGATAAGAATGACCCCCTATGCGCCTATAAATGCATGAGATTTCTTTACTATATTTGACACTGTTTTGGGGAATGAAATTCCTACTTACCAGTCTTCTCACTTGCAATGTTGCGGGTTCGAACGTTCAAGTAGTCTAGTAGTACACGGCATAGTAAAAATCAATGCTCTGGATATAACAATAACCTTTGACCAATAAATATACACCATTAATCAATTTCCTTACTTACGCCTGTTACCCCTAATGGAGCATAAGTCGCCTTAATCAATTTATTGATCTATTATAAAGTAGTGGACTGAGCAACTGTGGTTGATTTACTGTTGAAAAAACTCATTTTCATTTCCTAAATTCTTATATTGATTTTTTATGTTTTATCTTTCTTCTTTAAATGAAACTATGACAACAAGTTATTAAGTTTCTGAAAGAACAATTTTAAGCTTTGTCACTCTTTATTATCAAATTAATCATACCTAATAAAATAGTTCAAAATCCGCTTTTAGAGTTTGACTATCAGCCACCACTCGATTTCAATAAATACTTGTGACTAAATAATTTAGACTAATTTGAGTACTTTTATGGGAAAACTACGCCTGTAGCTCCTTCTGGGGCTACGGCCAGTCCCAAGCCTGGATAAAGGAGGAGGGTTGGGCATGGGGTTATCGACTTCATCCCGTAGAAAACCAACTCATTAAAAAAACGCTAACTAGTAACTTTTATGAGAAATAATGATATTAGAATCTTGATTTTATAAAAAAATATTCGATACTTTTTCTGGAGTTTCTTATTCTGAAATGAATGTAAGTAATCAGAATACTTCAGTGATTTATCTGATAAAGTAAAGACAGTGTCCTTATTTCAACTGT